GAGCCAGAAATGTAACATTCATCCTTTGTAAAAACAGATGCAATTATTGAAAAAATTCAAGAGCTGGTTTTGAAGTGGCGTTACAGAAAGAGATAGTGTTATCAGAAGATCAGGTTAAAGAACTTTATAAAGAACATGAAGGACAGGATTATTATGACGCATTAGTAGCAAATATGACAAGGTATTTACTTTGGGTTTCGCCAATTATTGATAATGTGCTCACATGAAATACTTTATTGATGAATGTTTTTATAAATATAACAATTGTCAGTTTGTGTGTGTGTGTGGCTTTCTGTCAGTAACTTTTTCTGAATTTTGTGGTGTAGCAAATCAAATCTTTACTTGACAAGTTTTAGTGTGACATGCAGATATTTGGAGAACTATTTCAGTTTACAACTTATCTTTGATTGAACTTGAACAGTGGATCTTTAGAAACAAGGTCTATGCATGAACCAAGATGGTCCAAACAAATATTCATGAATTTCAGTTCTTTTTGGATGCATAAAAAAAAATTGAAAAAAAAAAAAAAATTTCAGGAAAAATCAAATAAAAGCATGTTTTATGATACGTAATAATGCATACACATTGATTTTGGAAAGCAATTTGACCAGGAACTTTTTTTTCCTGAGTCTAACCCAACCAAGTGTACATAAAGCTTAAACGCAAATGTGACTGTTTGATTCATAAGATACATTTAACAATTACATTTAAACTGTATTTCTTTATTTTGTGTAAAATGATTGTATTCACAGTGGTCCAGTGCTTGTACTAGGGTTAGCAAGGGAAGATGCAATTCAAGGGTGGAGGGATATGCTAGGACCTAAAGAAGTAGAAGTGGCCAAACAAGAGGCACCAGAAAGGTAAAGATGAACTGTCATATTTCAATGCAGCAGTGATGTCGTCGTATAATTTACATATGAAAGGAACCATGTCATCACTATTGTGTATGTTTTATACGTTTTCACATCATCGTACACACAATACGTAGTTCAATCAAATGTAATATATGTAGCTGACATCATAATATACTTCCTAAAGCCTTGAACTTGAGCCCAGCTGGTGCATAATTTGGATATTTGTTTGCTTGTCTGTTTCTCGAAAAATTCATTATTTAAACATCATTGCACAGTGATGACAGTGTTGCTTTAAAGTTTGATCAATAATTTTCAATTACTTGTTCTCATTTTGTTTCACATGGGAGAATTTTTAGGTGATAAAAAGGGACTCATTTGGGACTAGTCTTTTTTCTCCAAACAACTGTGTATCATTCTTGAAGATTGAAAGTCATTGATCAACCATAAACCATTTTATAATAAATACTATAAAACCATTCATTTTCACTGACATTTTATTTCAGTGTTTTGATGTTTTGAGCAATTTCACTAGGTTTTATATTCACAAACTTGGCAGGGAAACAATGATTTCTATTGTTATTTTATATATTTACATGGATTTAATTCGGCAGATTTTACTTATCGTCAAATATAGTGGAATTCAAAACCAGCGAATTAATGCGTTTACCGTATTGAAGCTTTGAATCTGTATGTCATATTCAATAGCATATATACCTGCTAGTACAATCAACCATTTCATTATGGAATTTGTCATCTCAGTTGTCAATAAGAAAGTTATGAATGATGAGCTCTTAAGGTAGAAGCCTAACCAAAATGAAATTCTTTTTTGCAAATTGAACTGAATACTTAAAAATTGCGAGTCACCAGCCAATGATGGATGTGTTTTAGTGGATGGCGGCTATTTTGTCAATTCACCATTGGTTCCTATGGTGGAGATATTATTATGCCATATCTGAAATTGCAGGCTGGTGAAATGCATGTAGGTTGAAAAAAAATATATATCCTGACTGGTGGGGTACTTTTGTTACCGTGAAGTATTTCAATAAATTTTCTTTAATTTTGTGTTCTATAAAATTCTTCTAAAAATAGCTGTTTCATATCACATTAGAACTATTATAGTTCAATAAATGTACATAATAAATCAATGATCATTTTCAATGCAATTTATGACCAACTTTCACCAAAATTATGAGTAGGCTTGTACCTTAAAGTTATTCTTCTGTCACAATATCATATTTGTTCTACTAGAAGCACATTCCCAGTGTGAGAAAAAAAAATGATTTATAGATCAAACCATATAAAACATTTTTTTACTAAACCTATTTCTCATTAAAAATACCTCTTATTTGTGAATCGTTCGTGAATTATTGAAAACAATGCAAATACAAAAATAAAATGGTTTAAAAAGTAGCATGAATATATGTGCAACCAAGATGTGCTTCTAATATAACAAATGTAGCGTTTGAACTTGGATGTGGGTAAGATTGTGCCTGATTGGTTTGCAACACTTAACAGCCGAACCAATCAGAGAGCAGCTTGTTTGTTTGTTGACAAATTTCGCTCTCATTTATATTTACTTTGACTCAACTGCGATTTTATTACATTTTACACAAGTTTGTTTGCTGCAAATTGCCCTTTTCCCATAATGCAAAGCTGTTGAAGTTGTTCCAATTTGAAATACCATGTACAGTCAAACTTATATTATTTACCACCTTCATATAAAGACCAACTCCCATAATTGATCACCTTTGGACAGACCTATTTACATGTAAGCATTATGTATACACAGATATAAAGACCAGTGACTGTCTTTTTAGCACTGATTGGTCAAATATGAATCTTTTTATAAATGACCAAAATGACTGCATGTTTAGTGTTTTACACTAGTCTTCACAGTGACATTTTCAAATTAGACAAGCCAGACAAGCAAAATTTTGTTTCCGCTATCTTCAAATATTTGCTGAAAAATCGTCTTTTAAATTTTTGAACTTGGAAATTATTGCCATAAATATAGACAATAAAGACTCACCTGTCTATCACTATACACAGGATTGACTGTACCCAATATTCAGATCATTATGCAATGCATTATGGGTAATTACATTTACACATCTCTTTATTTTCAGTTAGAGGGCAGTATTGCATATCCGCATACATTACAAATTAACATTTTTATACATTATTTTCTCTGCAGTCTTAGAGCACAATTCAGTGTAGAGGGCGCACCGATTAATTCATTGCATGGCAGTGATACGCCTGAGGCAGCTGAGAAAGAATTTAATTATTTCTTCCCAATGCAAAATACATTAGCGGTTATTAAGCCTGATGCAGTGGAGGAACATAAAGGTATTTTTTATGCACACAAACAAACATGCAAATGTCAAAGGTCAGATTTTGAACATTAAGGCAGGGATTTACTGAAACGTTCACCCGACTTCTCCACTCCACATTTTTTTTTAGTCTAATCTAATTCCATTATTCTTTTTAGTATACGCATTAATATAAAATTTTACTATAATTTCACCTACTTTTGTAAAATCTTCTTTTCACCCTTTGAACACCAAAATTAACTTTCATCAACTTTCACAAAATTAACTTAACTTTATACACAAATATGTCTATTTGGTACAAGACTAATATTAAAAAGTTCTATGAAATTTTGGTGCTCAAAAGGTTAATTCTGGCCTTTCATTTTAAATTTCCCCTTGCTGCATTATTCTCAAGTCCTACACTAATGAATTTAAAGAAATATGTGGATAAAATATTATAATAAGGAGAGTATCGCTTGCAGTAATTTCAGCTTATCACTGCCTTTTTGTTTGATCCATCTGTCTGTCCTTTGGTTCCCCCCTCCCCCTTACTATCTCTGACGTCCCCCATCTAACATAACTCTGTCCAATCATACTATGCATGTATGTCTTTTTTTCATAGCTTACGAGCACAATTTACAACAAACGATCAAATCAATGCACTGCATGGTAGTGATTCATACGAAACAGCTTCCAAGGAACTCAATTACTTTTTCCCACTACAACAAACATTTGCGGTTATTAAACCAGATGCAGCTGAGGAACAGAAAGGTAGACTCGCGATATCGCCAATGTTTCTTTCCGACTTCATTGAGTATCAAACATATATTATCCCCAACTTTGTTTGTCTTGATTTCTGCTGTATGCTTTCAATTGTTACAATTATTTATACATTCATTCTCTAATAATTATGCGCATAAACTGTTTATATTTAATTGTGAAAAACCATACCCGTTGCCTGTATAGCTACTTTCGATCATTCACAAATGAGAAGTTTGGTTTGGTAATAATTTCATCAACCATACTTTAAAAAATTTTTCAACCTAGATTTCACCATTTCATTTTTTAAAAACTATTTGTAAGTTTCTGATAGATAATGAAGTCGGAAAGAGATAGACTCCCAGTGCCAGCTCCGAAAATGCGAGGTCACTAATAATGCATCCAACACTAACATTTTGCAAGTAATTAATGAAGAAATTGTTTTTTAAAATTAACTGCACCCTTTCAAGTTTTCACCTTTTTGTTCCTTGATAGTTTTGTTATTTTATATTAAAGTTGTACTGTCATGAATGATGTAGGTTCACAATTTATACACTAAATGACAACACAATTTTTTCGACTATCTTATATATTATTTGCGCCCTCTAGTGTTGAATCGCTTGAGATTTGTAAAGGCCAAACTGTATTTGTTTATCAGTAAAAATATTTGCTAAATATTCTCAGTAACCAATGACTACACTCCTAAAAAACTAAAGTACTGGAATAATGAGATTTCAAATGGTGAATCAAATTAACACGAAATATTATAAACGTGACAGTACAGTTTTTAAAGTAAATCAATTTTACCCCTTCCTGTTTTTGTCTTTTTAACAATTTTCTTGGCTTGTCATTTATTATATATATCACTTTATCACCCTTCTTATTGTTGATTGCATGCACTACAACATGTATATGTAAAGTTAAGTTCATCTAACTGTGTGTGGCATCCTGCTTTTTATATATGCTTCACACATATTAACATACAAATGTACCGCTTGTTGTTGGCTGTGTATTTGTCAGTCGGCAAGCATGTGCACAAAAATGATGGTGGCACACTTTCAGTCTAGTGGTGGCGATTAATTGTAGCTTTCTTTATACATATATATATATTACATTTGTGTGTTCTTCCCCAGCCATGTTAAGATGTAAATTTGCATAAACTAATCAAAATACCATACTGTATTATATGTATGCGCTTATTTAAATGATAGAAATATGTCTATGGTTAATTAAAATAGGACATATTTTAATGATCCAGCACACAATAAATGCAATTTTTGCTTTTGTGATGCGCTTTTAATAAAGTAAATATGGTATTTATACTGTTTTTGGCAATTAATATCTTGTAAGGCACAGGGGAGAACATTTATCTTGAGTCGTACTAATGTAGTATGTTTTTATATTAAAAAACAATGTCTAAATTAATCTTTGAAAAGTTTGAGAAAGATTATATGAAGATGTATCAATTCAATACTCATTAGTACATGGAAGTATGCACAAGAATTTGGTCAAAGAAATACACAAACCACTGCAAACCAGTGTTACCAAATGTTTGGTAAAATTTTTGGCGGAAATTTGCACCCCAAAGATATGGCAGAAATGGCAAATTAATCTTATTTCATTTGCGTTTATCAAATGGGAATTAGATGTATGCTATCTGCCCATATAAATAAAATGAATAACTTTATTCTAACATCAATGGATTTGTTTTGGATATTGACATTTTTTAGTTTTGTTGGAATTTTACTGATTTAAAACAAATTAATTGAAAGGATACGATATGATGTATTTCTATCAAGTTAGAATATTGCTTTATTTTTTTCTGATACTAACATATTTAGAATAGCTACTGGAAAAATCTTCAAAATTAATATAGGTTTATTGAAATCTTTCTGTATTAGATACAAAATATATATATAAGTGAATGAAATTGTAACATTAGAAAAATCATGTCAACAAAAAGTGAAATGAAAATTATCGCTTTTGTGTAACTGGTAGAGAGTGATTTCGTTACAATCCAATTAAATACATGATTCTCCTGGAAGCTTTCTTATTATCATGGCTATTACATAGTGTCTCTAAAAACAATTCGGAATAATTGATTTATAACCTTTCGAACACAATAATCAATGAAAAAATTGCACATTTGTTATGCAATATAATTTATATTATTTTATATTTGTATTCTATATTGTTTTTGTAAATTTTATATGAACAAAATTATGCAGATTTTAATTTCTGGGAGGTGACTGAAGTGACTGGCATACATATACTACTACTACAGTTACATCAAGCTACTTTCTCCGACACAATGAGCAAGACTTTTCTCTATTATTCTATTTTGCATTTTGACTGGTGTATAATCTTAATAGTAAAATATTATTTGTAATTTACAATCAATCATTATTCAATGTGCCTATCAATATGCAATATTGAACGAAATTATTCAAAGTTATTCATAATATCAGAGACATATCAAAAGAGTAATGTTAAATATATTTCATCTCTTGTTACTGTAATCAGGGATAACCATGTATTTACTAACTGCCATGTTTTGAGTTTGCTGTGTTTATTGTCATGTCATTTTAATAGTTTATGTAATGTGTTTTATGTGGTAGAGTCCTGCTTTCTTTTTCCACACCTATCTGTCACAGTATGGTTTAAATTATGACAGTATTTACTACATGTATGCCTTGATGTGATATGTTGCAAGTTTTATGCATTGTCAAATATACCCAAAAACAAAACAAAAACACTGGTGAAAATTTTTTTATGAGTCATTTTTATTAGCCAGCAACAGCCGGCCGGCTTGTACAATTACCAGGTATCACTTTCTACATTTGCATATTCCAAACTGTCTTTCAGACATTTTTTGGTTGTTGGCAAACATCAATGCTGCTCTGAAAAAAATCCTACCATTTGCATAAAAAATAGATAATCATGTGAAAAGTCAACCCACCTGGTTGTACTTTGTACTGTCTTCCATTTAAATCTATTTCATATAGACAGGCACTCCTAATTTTCTGGTTATAACTCCATTTTAGAATGTGCATAAACTACATTATGTGTTTAGTGTACAACTCCACATTCATCAACTGTAAAGCAGCTTAATTTACATATTACCTTTTTGAAATTCTGAGGAAAACTTGAAATATTGTTATTGTAAATTATCAGGATCATAAGTCACAGTGACTTTAATAGCAGTTTTCACTACTTCTTATTTCATATTACCTCGAAATTTTGAAATTTTGGGAATTCAACAGTTACATGTATGACTCAATAACAGTTTGCTGGCTTAACCATAACACTTGCAACAGCTCAATTCAATGTGAAACTAATATGGGTGGCACTGGTTTCTACACTGCTACTCAAATAAGAATCACTGCCACTATGAATGATGGAATATTTTTGAATAAACTTGAGCACAGATTCAGGACTCTGTCACATTAAGTATCAAATAATCATCTAACCACATATATATATATATATATATACTAATCAGAGTGTCAATCTATTTTTTTCTGTATCAGAAGCGATATTGGAAAGGATAAAAGAAGCCGGCTTCAACATAGCAGTATCAAAAGAAACACAGATGACGAAAGAACTCGCACAACAATTATACAAAGAACATGAAGGCAAAGATTTCTATGACAGTCTTACGGATCACATGGCCAGGTATGTACTGTTAATATACTCTAAATGGTTCTGGCTCTTACCACATTATATATGCATAGCATGTATCATAATAACTCTGAAACTATTTATTAACATTTTGTTAAGTTGTTTTTCTACTGAACAGGTTTATTTGAGTCTTCTTTGATAATACCTTGACCACTGTGGTTCCATTGAGTAATATATCTTCTGATATTATGGTCGCTTCCACATTTAATCATTAACTAATAAAACTAAATAATAGCTTATAATGGGTAACTTATGCTTAGGTTAATAATATATAATCTGATACCTTATTATACATCTAGAACCAAAACCATTTGCTATTTTGTAAAAAGTCGTATTAGCATTAATTTCAAAATATAACAGTACTCATTTTTCTTTATATGGGCAAACTAGGTCCCCAACATTGATAAGTTCAAGGTTATTGATGTTACATTCAAACTCTTTCAATTTTAGGCATAAAGGGCTACGGTGCACAATGCAATTTCATAATTTTGGGGTATAATCTCTCATTAAATTATTACTTCAAGCAGAAGGAAGATGTATAATAATAAGGTTATCATGAGAATACTGCAAAGTATACACCGGGGCAGTGCAGGGATCGACCTTTGCTACATGTTGGTCGATACAATCGATACTGCTTTTGTTGTGCTTATTTTGAGTTTTTGTTTATGGTAACCTCATGGTATATTGTAATATAATGTGAAACACATGGGATGAAATAATTACCAGTGTTCATTTGTCATACTGTATTTGCTCTATTGAGAAGCGCATCTCCAAAAGAGACACATGTGACTCATAAAAGTTTGTTTTGGTGATACACCAAGCTCACACCGATTCATTTATAGTAAACTTTTTTCAAAGGTCATTTACATATAAAACATATTAATAGAGCAAATATGGTATGTGTGGAAGTAAAAGTTGGTCTATCTATTAGGCATGCTCTCTCTAGGCATGCTTTAGCTATGAAGTAACTCTGTGATGTAAAAATGAGGTTGAATCAGTGTAAGCAATGGCACTTACAATATACCTATTCTCTTTAAAATAATTATTTTTGATGGACGAAGCTATGTCAAAGAATGTTCTACTTTGCTATG